GGGTCACATTCTATTGGGCTGGGTATCTGCTATGTTTATAGACAATGAATATAACACAGTGTTGCTGGACAACCCCCCCCCCTTTTTTTTTTCTTTTCTTTTTTTTAGTTGACGTTACAAAATCCCATAAGAAAGCAGAGCTCTTTGCATGATTTGGTTATCATGAGTTTTCAGCCATTTTTACATTTGTCTTTATTTGCTTTAACTTGGGAAGTCTATCTGAGCTTTCTAAGGGCTGTTGTAGGCATAGGGTACTTGTAGTCATGCCAGTGACAATTCCCACTGGGGCTTAACCTACTTGTGGGTAAGGTCAGAATCAATCGCTGGTGGGGTCGTCCATTCTCCCTCCCTCTCTCTTCCCCTTTCCCACCCTGTCTTTTTCCTTCTCCTCACAACTAGATTCATGTCAGGCCCAAAAGTTGGAACGACAGTTGGTCATTCTTTCAAGTAGCGTTCTTTATTATTTCACACCTGTAGACAAATTCTTGCCAGACTGAGCTCTCTGCACATACCATATACTCTGTCAACTATTAGGGAGGGGCAGCATTCACCCTCTTTCTCTCACAAACTCTTCGGACTGAATTGCCTCTTATTCCTCGGTAATGCACTCCCTCCTCCTGAGAATCCACCTCCTTGCTGTGTTCCATTATATCTCCTCTAGCCAGGTATCTGCCCTGCTTACCCACCAAAGGTTTCACAATTGAAAAACTGCACATGTCTCCAAATGTACACAAACGAGGAGGGAAATTCAGCCTTTGAGAGATGTTGTGGGAGGAAGGACATATATGTCTATTGAATTGATACTACTACTTTTTGATGCTAAGGAAAAGAAACCCCCCCCTTCAAATATAAGGGGCAGGGGTCTTGTCCCTGTGATGCAATTTCTCCCATTCCCCCACAGGTGAGCATTTCAAATATGAATTTGGCGAAAAAGAATTACTGATGAAACTCTTTCAAGAACTGCATATCAAGACTCAGTCACCACCTCCAGCTCCCCATACTTCTTCTTCTTGTACCCAGTATCAGTGTGGAGATGCCACTACCTCATCTTTCCTGCCCCTCCACAAGCCAGGCCTTCCTGTAGGAGGAAGCACAATTCCCCTGCTTGAAGGGACACAAAATGTGGTGGCTTTGAGCCAGGCTGAAAGCCACTACTGGACTTTTTTTGGCTTCCAGGGGGATGCCTATGGACGCATCCTCGACAAGAGCAAGATCATCTGTAAGATTTGTGGAGTCCAGCTGAGCTACAACGGAAACACCAGCAGCTTACGTCAACATCTCTTCTGCAAGCATCGCTGTGAGTACATCGAGGTTCTTAAGGTGGCCAACCGCAACAAAGGAATAGCTGGTACAGGCGAGTTTGGAACTCCCCGGCCTCCAGTCCCTAGCCAAACGACACAGGCAATCGCTGACTTTATCGTGTTGGACCTGATGCCAATGGAGGTGGTAGAAGGTGAGGGATTCGGGAAGATGTTAGCGGTCCTGGACCCCAACTACAAATCTCCTGAAGCTGCTGCCTTCGCCCACACAGTGTTGAAGGACATGTATACCCAGGTGAAAGGGAAAATCTGGGAACTGGTCCGGGCCCTGCCCCAGTGTTCCCTTAGCCTGGATATATGGTGCCACAGCAGCACTCTGACCTACCTCACACTCACTGCGCATTATGTGGATGACTGCTTTGAACCCCAGGCCAGGGTCCTCTCAAGCCGCCCTATTCCTGAGAACCCCAGCACTGAAAGCCTGGTGGAGTCTTTGACTGAGGCCACCAAAGAATGGGGAGTACACGAGAGCACTTTGTACACTATGGGAGGCATTGGCCCTGTCTTCCAGCAAGCAGCTGCAGCCCTGGGGTGGACAGCCCTGCCTTGCATTGGGCAGGTCTTGCGAGCAGCGATGGAAGCAGTGCTGAACCAGCCGGTGGCCCAGAGTGCCCTGGAGAGCCTCCGTCACTTGGCTTCTTGGGCACTGACCGGGACAGGTCGCAGTGAAAAACTATGGTTCCAGGAGCCCCTCCTGCAAACTCTCCTCAGTCGCTTCCTCAGAGATGGGAGCAGATGGCACACTGTCTACACAATCCTACAGGATTTACTAAAGTATAGCAAGTCTCTGTCAGGGCTCGGTCCTGATGGGGAGGCAATCCTGCACCCGCAGGACTGGGCTGCCCTTAAGGACACAGTCCAAGTTCTCAAGCCCATGGCAATTGCTACCTCAACATTTACCAAACATCCCTTTTCCAGTCTTGCCCTAGTCAAGCCTGTGTTAACTAGCCTCCTCTACAAGCACTTGGTAGCCAGTGAATGGGACTCTGCCCTTGCCCTTGAAGCCAAAGAAGCAGCTCAAAAAGAACTTAACTACCATTTCTCCAGGCCTGAAGTTAACCAGGTCCTCAATCTGGCATGTGCTTTGGACCCCCGCTTTCATTGCCTGGACTTCTTGAGCCATTCTGATCGGATGGAAACTTTGCGCTTGCTCAAGACCGAAGTGTCCCACTTGGCCGAGGCCTCTGCCTTCTTAAACTCCAGCCTGCCTGATGCGGCTTCCTCATCGCCTCCTTCCAAGATGCCAAAGCAAGATACAGGCATTGAATTCCTGCTGGGAGATCTCTGCAGCATACGTGGTGGCCCAGGCATCAACTCTGCCCATCAGCAAGCCGAGCAAGAGGTAGCGAGCTTCCAAGTCAACGAAGCGTCCGCCCTCACTCAGGAACCCTTGCAGTGGTGGAAGATCCATCACACCCAGTACCCATTACTGGCTCAGGCAGCCCGCAAGCTCCTAGGAGTGCCTGCCACCTCAGTGCCTGCTGGCTGGCTCTTCAGCAGCACTGGAGATGCCATCCACACTAAGCGCCAAGCCCTGACACCAGAGCATGTCGATATGCTTGTATTCCTCCATGGCAACCATGCAATGCTCTATTAGAGTACACAAAGAAAGCAGGCTTGGGTGGCGTCTGTCTGCAGAATCCTAGAGCATTCCACCACAAAAGGCTGAAATGAGAGAAAAGTTCCCATGTGCCCAGTATCTACTTAGGCTGGCCTTAGGTAGGCTGGCCAAAAGGACCAGAGGGCAATTACTGTCTGTGTGTTTTGGAGAAGGGAATAAAACAAATCACTTGGATGTTGGGAGGGGGAAGGAGAATCCATGAGCCAAACTAGGGTAGATGAACATCTAAAGATTAGCTAGAGAGCAAGAAATATGATTTCTTGCTTCCTAGCTAATCTAAATCTCCCATAGCAATTTAGCAGGCAAGTTTGCCACTTAGGAGTGAGTGAGTGGGCGGGGCGGCTTCCTGTTGTCCATGTGGGCTGCGCAGCCTTGTTTCTGTGCAGCCTGAATTTATTGCTTTGTGGGGGGTTGCTCTGGGGGTGAGATTTCTCTGCGGCCCACCAGTTGGCGACCGCTATTCTACGCAGTAGACCTCACCTCTCAGAAAAGAGATACCACAAAGGGCGGGAACCAACCATGTATGGGTCAGAAGGAGAGATCATTTGAGGACAGAAATGATGTATTAAGAGTAAGTGGGGACATAAAAAGAGAAATAGGAGCGGATTAGTCCATGCCTACCATAGGGAGATAGATTTGTAACAGGGAAAAGAAATGGAGGTGGGTAAATAAACTGGTGTAGGGAGCTGAAAACTCTCAATCTCCCTTAGCTTGGTGTCTTAACCACTAGACTGTTCATTGCCTCTTGGTCATGTCTTTCCCCATGCAATGCATTCCTTATTCTCTCCTATGTCATACCCCGTCCTGTTTGCACACATTAAAAAGTTCAGGAAAGAGGAACAGCCGAAGACAGGTTTATACAGACAGGATCCTTCCTCTTCTCTACTTTAAAACAAATTTTCAATTTGGGTGGGTGTTAAATAAAATTAATTAAAGAGCAACAAGAAAATAAGAGACGTTTTATTTTTTAAAAAGATGGTGCTTGTACTAGGATGGGGGGGCGGGGGGAGGAAACTGAAGAAAATTTTCTCCAGATTGTAATAGGAGTGGTGATTCTTTAGGGCACCAACACCCAAGGATGCAGTACAGTTAAAAACTATAGAAAACACCCCCCTCTGACCTTGTTTGATGTGAATAAGACATTACCCTCTGACTTTATAATCCAGTTCTGTTGGCTTTAGTTGCTACTCTCATCCAACATTTCTTCAAATTGGCTAGGAATAATAGAAGTTATGGAGCTGCCTCTTAGCAGTTCCAAAAATAGCCTGTCTGCAGATCACATCTGGTGTATTGTTCATGGCTATCTCTTTATAAATCAGGAGTTAATAGCCTTTTTTTTATTAGTGCCAAAAGGGAAGTCAAGCTTTCCTATAGAAGCTAATGCCACAAGGGAGTTGATGCTTAAGCCAGGACAAATACTATTCCTAAAGCTGCAGGGGTGGTACACAACAAGGCTTTTTACAAGTTGCTGAATGGCATCTCTTAGTGTGTCCCATTATTGCCCTACTCCTGCTGGAAGTTGCAGTTGGTAGCATCTGGTGGGTGATATGAGGGCTCACCAGCTGTTGGACATCTTCCTTCATATGACCCTGACTTGATACAGCTAATAGAATATGGTTCTCAGCAGGTGACAGTGCCTAACCAACCTTGGCTGATTTAGAAAGCTAAGCAGTGCTGGCTGTACTTAATACTCAGGGGGGTGTCATCTAGGAAGTCAAGGGCTGTTGAATGACAGGAACTTTGAAAAAATATCCCAGTAGAAGACAGCAGCAAACCATTGGGGTGGAATAGGAATGGCCAACGTCAGTTACATTAATGCATCCAAGTAAGTCATCAAGTGTTCAACCCCAACACAATTTTGCTTTTACTCCTGGGGTATTGTATTAAATGTCTAGAAACAAGTTATCTGTTACTCATCCTACTTTCAGAAAACTGAAATGGATGCAGCTTTTCCAAAAGGGCTTAGGAGCTGCATGCAGTCCTGTACTGTCCGATGACCCATCCAAATCATACAGTATGGAGACCTTTTTCATCCCCATTGCAGTTACAAGTGCAGGACTGTAGGAAAGAAGCTCTCCAAAGACACAAGAAGGTCACTTTCTTCCAATGCTAATATTAAGTGCCTGGATCAGTTAACTCGGGTAAGGACAAAGGGCTAAAACTTCACAAGACAATGATCCCAAATTAGTGTGAGTTCCACCGTCCCTGAAGAGGTTCAATGATGAATGGACTTTGTTATCTCCATGTTATCAGTGAACACAGTATTGTAAAAAGAGGATTTTTCAGTACAGATGTGAACTCTAGGCTTTTTTCCTGGCTTTGGCATGTAACAAATACTGATTTCCAACTCAATTGGTACTGCAGATTTACTATGCACTAAAGAAGAAGCAAGAGGCACTTTATCTTTTCCTTTTACTTAGGGCTAAATAAGTGATTCCCCATCACTACCATCAGCAGGAGCCCAGCATTCAAAAAAAAGTATCTTTCATGGCCTGCAGGGTGTGTGCCAGTGATTCAGGAATGTCACCAAAGAAGGATGGGCTCTAAGTGTCCTTTTTAGTTTTTTTCAAGAGACTTTCAAAGCAAAACACGGGTTAACCCTTTTAGACATTGAACATGATACCTACTTTAATAAAAGAATCCAAAATGATAATAATCCCATTTTCTCTGCACTCTAGGGTGCAGCTGCTTTCTGTGTGAAATGCTTGTCTGTTTGGGACTGAAACTTGCCTAGTGCAGCAAAATTCATCCTGACAAAAATACCAGGAAGCTGCCATTCCTTATATTTGAAGAGTATTAGACTGGGGGTATGGCAGGTGAAGAAGCAAATGGATCCATGTATAAAATTGGAGAGGGGTGGAATGTCCAGAACTTTTAGCTGTCACTGCACCCGTTAGGCTAGTAGTGAAAGGGCACCAATGCAACCAAACCCACCAGGAACTGAGCATTGAAAAAGGATACAACATTAGAGGCGATATTCACAGATATAATACATGCGCCTTTCACAATCATTGTCCCACCATTTCCCATCATCCGAGCTGAGGGAGACACAGTTCTCACGGGTACCACCGTTGGGTTGAGTCACCAGATGGTCTCGGTACCAATCAAAGACGGAGACGCGTTGGCCGTTCTCAAAAAGCCACAACCCTTCAGAACGCCGGTCATGGATGCCCACCCAGGATGGCCAGTTGTAGGGCTGAAAAGCATCATAAAGATAGCGGCGCAGGACAGTCAGCTCAGTATCATCTGCTGGCATAGCCAAATGCCCTCCTCTGGCTTCACAAAGTTTTTGGGCTATGTCGTAGGTCTCAAAATGCTTGAAGATCAGGAAGCATTTAGTTTGTGTGCGCCGGCCCCTCAAGCAACCTGGGTTGGGCAAAGATAGTGATTAGTATTGGTAGCAATAGTACTTAGACTTACATATGTTTCATAGTACTTTGCAGCACTCTCTAATCAGCTTATGGAATCAGCATATTGCCCCCAATAATCTGGGTCCTCATTTTACTGACATCAGAAGGATGAAAGCATAGCCCTAAGTCACCTTTGATCCAGTCAGGATCAAACTGGTAGTGGGCAGAGTTAACCTGCAACACTACAGTGTAACCACTGTACCACCATGGGTCTTAGTGGTTTTGTATGCCATCACTAGCTACAGAATGCCTGGAGGTATACAGAATGCAAAGGGCCAGATCCCTGCTCTATGAATTTTATAAAAGTTTGTGAAAAATGTATAAGCGATGATTAATTTATTTGATAGATTTATTTCTTTATAAGGCTTTCTTTTTATTCACACAGATGCCTGTGAAATAGGTTGGGCAAAGGGGATGACAGACCCCAAGTGACTTTCTGTGGCTGAACCTGTTTTTCCACAATCAGTTTTAGTCCAATATTTCACAATTGCATCACAGTACAGTGACATAACAGCAGGGGAATGACCTTGAAAACCGGATTCTTCCTCTTAGTTCTCTCAACTCATGGCTTATTTCAACCAACCTTTGGAATAACCTTTCCTTTGATCTTTTTGTCTCAGCAGATAGCAGAGATCAGCAAGCCCTGAGCAGTATGTTACGATCTGACTCTTTCAAGTAGGATATCTGCTTTATGAAAAATAAAATGATGAGCTTTCCCGTTTGGAGGGATTTGGCAACTGAAAACAGCTCTCAGGGTGATCTCCAATTTCCAAAGATTCTGGACAGTCTCCTCTATTCCTTGAAGGTTGGAGATCAAAGACATTTATGCTTCTGGAGATTTACGCTCAGCTTGACTATCTTTGTTGTTGCTGGGATTAATTTCAAGGAAACCGCTAGTGCAATTTTCCTCCATCCTGGGCTTTTAAGTGTTGGGTTGTAATTCAGATCCTATAGAACAGTGTTTCTCAGCAACTTCACAATGAGTGAACCTCAACTCCCAGAATTCCCCAGCCAAGATGCTGGCTAGAATTATGGGAATTGAAATTCACACTTCTTAAAATTGCTTAAATTCAAAAACATTGCTATAGAATGATGGGGGAGGAAGACGGATTCCACTCCCCCTTTCCTTCCTCACCATCAATGCGTCCAAGTTCTTTCTGATTGTGTGTGGCAACTTCGTTAAGAGAGGCCAGTGACTCACTAGTCTGAGCCAGGCCCCCCTTCAATTCGGCCAGATCTTGGGAGAACTGTGACACTCGCACATCCATGTGATAGAATTGCACGTTGAGACGGTGGACCGCTGCCTCAAGACTGTTCAGTCGTGATACTGTTTGTGCATCGAGGAAAGGAGGGAAAAAGGAAGAAAGCAATTATCACTTTTAAGGATTTGAAAACCAGGAGGTATTAGAGTCATCTTACCTAGGGAAGAGAATACATCAGGAGTGAATCAGAATACAGAAATAAGGGAGAGGGACACTAAAGAAAAATGGGAAATAGGAAGAAAGATTAATGAATTTTAGGATCAGATGAGAAATGTTTATGCACTGGATTAAGTCCCAGGCCATATCCACTTTTCCAGTTCTTTAACAGCCAAATAGATATTTATTAAGGGGAGGGAAAATCACTCTCTGAAACCAACCAAATAATTTTGTTGTACTGTTGGTAATCTATTTTCCCAGATAACATTGGAAAAAGAATGGTTATTCAATAGAATTAGATAAATGGCAGAAATTGTGGGATAGAAATTGTAAGCTAACAATGTCAATGGCTTATAAGGAAAATTTATACAAAATGTTTTACAGGTGGAATTTACTACCGGAGAGGTTGGCAAAGATGTTTGAAAATCTTATCAACTAAATGTTGGAAGTGTAGCAAGATGCCAGATTCATATTATCATATGCAGTGGACATGTCCAAAGGCCAATATTTAGTCCAAAAATATTGGACTAAAATACATACTTGGTTAGAAAAAAATGATAAAATAACATATAGATTTTGAAATCAGATTTTTTTTTGCTGGGTATACTACCAGAACAGTGTAATAAAAGGAATACATACCTAATTTTGCATGTAGTAACGGCAGCAAGAATAGTGTTTGCACAACAATGGAAAAATGATGAGGTCCCGACATGAAAGTGTAATTAAAAAAATATTAGAATGTGCTAAAATGGATAGATTGACAAGATAAAAGGAAGAAACAATATTTTTTAACATGGGATTTATTCTACCAATGATTAACTAACAAAAACAGAGGTTAGAAACGAAACAGAATCTAAAAAGATTATAAAAATTGGTATTGGAAATTTTGCAAGATGGATAAACTAATAGTATTATGCTGTGATATGTTTAATAAGATTATTACAATGGCTTTGGTTATTGTTGTATCTTTACTTAAAATTAATTGTGCCCAGACTATATGCTGCTCAGATGGACATGGAAATTTTTTTATGTTCTTTAAAAGGAAAATGTATCAATGAAACATATACTCATGATATTTTTTTAAAGGAAAAAGAGTGTCTATAAAGTGTCTACAATCACCAGCATTAATAAAGCTAAATGATCTTTAAGGAAGCTTTGGACAGCATGATTGAAATTTCTACAAAAATCATATACATAATCAGAAAACGATGAAACCCAATTGCAGTGCAACATATAATACTAAACCTCAGGTTCCAGTAACTTTTAACTGGGTGAAAAGGTGCATCATAGGTCAAAATACTTTGAACCAAAGTAGTGAAAATGGACTAATTTTCAGAATGCATCTAAAATCTAAGATGCAAAACTCCTATAAAATTGAAATTTGGCAAATTTTATAAAACATTTTATGACATAAAATTATAAAGACATAGTAGAAAATATGATAAAACATTTGATGCTTGACTATGCTACACAGTTCAACATCTCTTACTTTCAAGGCAGATACATCTTCAAATATCTCTCTGTTTTTTAAAGAATTTTTCTAGTCCATTGTTGAAGGCATTGAGGAATCTGATAAAAACAGATCTCTGAAACTATGGGTCAAGGGGTCACGGGTTGTCTAATACAGCATAAACAGCGGAGGAGGACATAATAAGAGAAAGTGGCATAAGGACAGCTAACTACAGGGACTACATTAGCAACTCTTGAATAATTTCAGGCATGTGAATTTACATTTTAGCCTTCCTTCATATAACAATTCAGGCCTCCATTGTAAAATCATTACATGACAAGATTATCAAGTTACAGATATCCCAGACACATCCATCTAGTTCTTTTGGCAATGATGCCAAAGCAGGTATTGCCTTCTTCCAGGATTCAGGTAGACCTTGACTTACAACTGTATTTGACCCTAGAATTATAGTGGTAAGTCATTGAAGTCATAAGTTGAAGTATTCGTGTGATCAGAAGTGATTCTCTGGTTTTTTATAACTTTTAAAACTCCGTAGTGTTATTAGTGAATACTACAGTTGCTAAGTGAACTCCATGGTCGTTAAATGAATACCATTGTCATTGAGTGACTCAATTCATTTGAAAACCAGAAACTGGCAAAACCTGTTGCAAATTGGAGTCATGTGACCATAGAATACTGCAACCAGTCATAAAGCTGACCTGCCAGATGTCATGTGGCCACAGAGAGGGCAGCACAACCGTTTATGATGACTGGGGTACTTTACAGATTATAAAGTACCCATTTGTGGTCATTGTAACTTTGGTCATAAATGATAATTAAGCAGGGCCCACCAGTATCTTTTTGACTAATTTATTTATGATGATCTCTCATCCAAGTTATAATTGTATCCCTGTTTAACTTTTTAGAGAGCCAGGTAGCTGCTGCCATGTAGCCAAACCAACTCCTTATCTATAAAAAAAATTGCCACTTCACTTACCCCATGATATATTTGTGACCCAATGTGGATGGGAACCTACCCAGAAGTTCCTGTCCTACATTTGTGCAATTTAATGACAAAAGTGTGAGTCTTAGCTCAAAAATTATGGCATATCCTGATTCATTATCCTACATAAATTATATGTGAAAATTGTCTGTACTAATTTGAGTCAGATTCCTTTAACAGAAATTGGTCTACTGTTAAGAAAGTGAGGTCCATTTTCCACATAACCAGTGAAATATGCCTTAACTAAGCTATAGATTGTGCTGTGGTCAAATTGTCATTACAGATAGCCCAATTCCAGTTGAGCAGGTAGGCCAGGAAGGTCCACTGGCTAACAAAGGATCCTAGCTGATACTTGTATCTATATATACCTCATTGTGCAATAGGTGAGAAAGAGAAGGCAGTCATAGGACATCCAAGATATGTGAGAGTTCTAGATGCCATGGCGATTTTATCTTGAATATATTGGATAGTTAACAGGAATATAAAAAGAGAGGGGTAATTGAATACCAAGAGCAGGAGTAAGAGGGGGGGGAAAGTCAGTAAAAAAAATGTTCATCCAAATCAGATCCTTCCCTTTGTTCTCTGATATCTTTAGGGATACAGAAAGGGAGGAAAGGATTGCATTCTCTCTCCAGGGTCAATAATTGACTCCCTCCCCACAGCATTTCATGTTTTTATAAATGTGCATATTAGATGCAGGATGCCTTTAGTGTCATAAAATGATTAACCTTTAACTTAAGGAAGGAATAAAGAGCTACAGGGTGTTATCCTTGAATCTTTCCATCTCCTCAACATACATAAATCTAAAATGTGAAAGGTTCCATTCTCAGACAATTTCGTTAAAATGCTTCACTAACTATTGTAATTGGCTTGAAATCAAATCAGGATTAGGACAGATGCAGCACTGGCACCCTAAGTAGCTTAATTTACCAGTTGCTTTTGCAGGAACCTACAGCATGCAGATGAGCTCCCTAGCTATGGGCAGCCCTCAGATTACAGGAGAAAGTCACTACCTCCTCACTTTTTGAACTACAAATTTTAAACAAGAATAAGAGGGGTAAAATATATCTGGAATCACAAAGTGGGCTTGCTTGCCAATTTCATCAAGAAGTTCCTTTTTCTCCCCGTAACTTGAGCACTAGTGCAAAATGCAGGGCAACCCAATTCCATGTTTTTTTCTTTCCTTAACTGCATGATTAGGTTGCTCTAAGGAATAATGTCTGTGTATTTCCCAGTAGTGCACAAACATAATAAAGAAGCCATTGGTTTTTTTTTTTTTTAATGAGACAGTTGAGGGAGTAGGGAAGACTGAGACTCTCCAACTTAGACCATTTGTTTAAGGACCGTTCAAAGTTACAATGGCAGAAGAAGAAAAATGACCACTGGTCCTCACATTTATGACCATCACAGCATCCCCATGGTGATGGGATCAAAATTTAAGCACTTGGCAACTGGCTTGTATTTGCAATGATTACTGCTTCCGAGGATCATTTGATCTTGCCCTTCGTGATCTTCCCAACCTATTTCCAACAAGCAAAATCACTGGGATGAGCCAGATTCACTTAATGACCATATGATTCACTTAATAACTGAAGGAATTTACTTATCAACCATGGCAAAAATAAAGTTTGTAAAATTAGGCATGACTCACTTTAACAACTGCCTTGCTTAGCAATGAAAATTCTGGTCCCAGTTGTGGTTTTAAATCAACAGCTTACATACCCCAAATCATACCCCATAGACAATTTATTCTATGAACTGTGGGGTCCTTAGTACTCTCCGAGTTTCTTTGTTTTCTTGAAGGCATTTCATTACCAAACTAGGTAACACAATCAGTGTTAGCATGGAGTGAGTTTACTTTCATTTTATATACTAGTGGCTTGTCCTGTCAGTATTTGTGGAAGTGGTCTTGGCAGTTCCTTGATTAGATTGTTGTTTACTGTTAGCTTGTTTGAGTATTTATTCTATAAACTATACATTAAATGTTCAAATTGGTTGCATTTTTTTAAAAAAAAACTTAAATATTTGATGCACAATCTTTGAATATTTCAAAGTATGGTAATCTTTTCCCTATTTTTTTAAATAATAAAACATATTTTGATTGGCTTATGTCTTGACTTCTGTTACACCTTGTATATTTAGATTAGGGTTGGAATATTATTGGAATTTAGATTAGGGTTGGATTATTGCAATTAAGTCTCATCTTTCACCATGAAAGGTTTGAGCAGTATAATAGCAAAGAAAGTGATTAATCAGATGAACTATCCTTGCACTTATTCACATATATTTATATAGAAATATACTACATACACACACACACATACACACAGACACACACACACATTTATGCTTGGTTTAAGCTTCACAACACACTGAGTCCTGAAGATGTACATTTGGGGATAAAGATCCAGGATCCACTCATAATTACTAGACATTCTTAAATTGACAAACTAAAT